CAGCCGGCCCAGGCTGGCCCGCAGCTGAGCCGCTGCAAGCTGTGCGCTGCGCGCTCGGCACCCGCGATGGCACAGTTGGGGCGTACTGCGTTGCACCTTTATTATGCGCTGACGCTGTAGAGCGCAGACTTGATGACCAAGGAACCATACCCTGAGAGACCTCATCACAGGAGGAGTCTTCATTGCTGAAATTAAATGATTAAAAAAACTTTCTGCTTAACAGCCGTGCAAGAATTAAGTTCTTCAGACCTGAGAAGCCCAGCTACTCCTTTAATTTGATATTCTTTATCTGCTAGAAAGTAGAAAAATTCGTTGCTCAGCTGCATATCCTAAACTGAGAAAGTTGCTGGGTGCCTGTAGCAGAATTTACCATTCTGTTCAAGCCCTTCTCTTCTCCTGGCCTTTTAAGTCTTACTCTAATTTATTCCCAGGGGAGCTGGATTTTCATTAAGGCGTAGGTGTAATCTCGCTACTCTCAAATCTCCTTTGCTATATTTTATCTTGGTTTTGTTTATTACTTTATATGATTGGTCATTTGTCATTTCCTTTTTAATAGATCTTGTAGTCTTGAAAAATTAAAATAGTAAAATAGTAAAACAGTAGTGGTTTTTTTCCTGGGGCTGCAGGGGGAAGGATAGGGTTTTTATTTGTCCTTTATTTTAAAGAAGCAGCAATTCAACTCAATAGTAATTGTTTTCCAAAGCATGGTAGGTTCTGAAGACAGTAGCTGTAATAATGACGGGTGATTTAAGATGCAAATATCTGAGACCTTTACCGGTCTTTGAGCTGCACCTTCCATCGCCGCGCTGCCGGGAGCGCCGGGGCCCGCGGAGCGTACCGAAGCCTGGAGCTACGCGCTGGGAGGAAGTAGAAGAAAATGGGTCGGAGGGGTTGTTCGCTGTTCAGGGCGTCTCTCCCATTTCAGGTGGGAGTTGTGTGTAGTCAAAACAGGACGACACGGGGTCATCGCTTTCTGGCAGCTTACAAAATTCTGGTCTGACGAGCGGAGACAGTCGCCTTTACTAGTGAACGCAGCTTGGTAGCTCAAGCGTCGTGGGAATTCAGAAGTAAAACAACGCTTTTTCTGGCCTGCAGTCATCTATTAGCGATGAAAGAAAGATTTTAATACGTGGTTTTAGTTTTCTAACTGTATCAAAACTGTTCTCTCTTTAACCTCAGGACTGCTGGGTGGTGCTTTTCAGCTGAGAACTGTTGTGTATTATAATCTGTATTGTGTTGAGATTGGAGGTAAACTGTTTGTAGAGGGAAAGGAGTTGTAATGACTGAGTAGAGTAAAACCACTTCCTTAACTGCCCATCTCATGTGTCAGTAACAGAAAATGGCATACGATGAATGTACGGGGCGCTTTAAAAAACAAACGTCGTTCACTTTGTAGAAATGCCTATAGCTTAAAGGCAAAACAGAATAGATGACAGCAAAAGGAAAGGGGAAGAGATTACAGATGATGAGAATGTGCAGATCAGAAAAATGCTCAAATATTAAAAATGCTCAAATATTAAAAACATAAGGTCCCATGGGCTCCTGAGCTCCTCCGTTTACTGCCTGAAGCTGGACACGCTAAAGGGTCTGTAGCTGAGACTGTGCTTGTGACATGGCGTGTGCGTGCATGGTGTGTGTGACACGGGCAATTCGTGGAGTTTTGACTGTTACTGTTGTTTTGTATTGCGAATATATTGATGCATTGAAAGATCCCAGAAGAGCATGACTTGGAGAGCCAGATTCGCAAAGAGAGGGAGTGGCGGTTTCTGCGCAACGCTCGGGTCAGGAAGCAAGCCCAGAAGATCATCCAGAAGGGTGAGTTTCCCCTTTCCTGCGCTGCGGGCAGCTCCCGGCGCCATGTTCGTGGCGGACTCTGCGCTGTCAAACCTCTCGTGTAGTAACGAGCCCACGCTGACCCGCAAACGTAAAAGGTCCCTGCTCCTCCTTTCACGTGCAGGTGAGGCAGATAGGGTCCCGTTCTGCTGTAACGTGTTTTGCTAATCATCACTTATCTTTCCATTCTCGGGATAGTTTTGTACGCTAGATCAGGGGAGCGACTACTTTAAAAGTCATATATCTGTCTTCCCCTTTTGAAAACTTAAATACAACGCTGTGTACAAAATGGCGTGGTCAGGCACAAGTAGAGCGTTCAGCCCCGGTGTAGCATCGCGCTGTCTGTCTTCTCGAGTCCGTCACAGGAGGAGAGAAGCGTTAAGAGTAATCTTTTGCAAGAGGAGAAGGCTTGCCATAAAAGCAGGTTTCCCCGCTTAGAAGAATTGACAAAGCCTGTGATTTCCAGCACGTGTGTTTGCTGCTGAGCCCTTGCATCTGAAGGCCAACAGCTGAGCTCTTCAGCAACTCACCCCGTCGGAGCTGGCGTGTCCGCAAGAGCCAAAGTCATAAGCATAAAATCGATAATTCAGAGGCCCTTAACAGATACTATTGATTTTCCATTTTGGCTTTTCCTCCCTGTCCTCTAAATTTCTGATGAATATTGTAGGTTCTGTTTTTAAAGGGATAGAGATAAAATATTGCAAGATAAACTTTAGCGCTCCAGCTGAAAAGGTTCAGACAGTGCTTGACGCATGTCAAACACCATTAGGATTACTAGTCATGACAAGTAAGCCAGTACTGCTGAACTGATGGATGTGTTCTCCTCCTGATGTTCGGCAGACATCTAAATGACTTTCATATTCCCCACTCTCCTGAACTCAGTAAATGGTAGTTTACTTCTCATATCCCATTATATTTTTAATATTTATATATGTAGGGCTTTATGTATACTTACATAGTTGCCTCTAATATGCCTCAGGTTCATGATTCATTAGTGTGTGTATTCTGCATTCTACCGAAAGCTAATCTTGCTTGTTTATAACTCTTTATGCGTTTACAAGGCAGCAGTTGGGCTAGAATTCTTTTAACACGGGAATTTATTCAAATTCAGTATAACCCAATGCAGTGCCCTCAGGAATTTGCATAGCTGAATTATTACTGCTTGCGTGTCTTACTTAAACAGCAAAGACGGGGGAGTGTCATTTATGTGAGCTCTCCTCGCTGTGACCTGAGATGGCATCCTGCAGGAAAGAGGCTCCCAGGGAATGGGTAGATGTTGTTCCTCTTTTGAGCGCTAGCAGAGGGAAGGGTAGCCTGAAATACTGATTTGCTGAGTGAAGTGATATCCAAGGCCCAGCCTCCCAAATGTACCTGATTCTCTGGAGGCTTGCTGGGTTCCAGGCAGTGCAGTGGGTGGCTCAATGTCATAACACTGCAGAATATCATAAACTGAAATAATACAGAAACCAAACTGGAGCCCGGGAAGTGGCTTGAGGGGGTCTTGTTGAATACAAAGAAGGGGATCTTTCATGCTTGCCTGAAGAAATGAAGTCTTTTCCTGACCAAGGTTCGTATTTGGTTGCTTGGCCTGAAAGTAAAATGCCAGTATTCATAAAAATGAAATCAAAATCGGAAATATTAACAAGAATTAAAGTAGACTTAAAATACTTTAATTAAACAGATGCATTCCAAAACAAACTAGAACTGAGTAAATGTCTCCTGAGCTTACAGTTTTGTGTGATGAATTCATACTTTGCCAAAAAATGCAGTTTCAGGGATACCAAAACTGCTTGTGAATAGCAAACTATTGCAAAGAAAGAAGTGAAATGGAAGGTCAAATAAATAATCCACAAGCTAACATGAAATACTGTGTTGTATATTGAATAAAGTATTTTCATTTTGTTTTATTTTGCAAAATAAATTAAAAAACAGGGTTGATTTTGTGTCAACACAAAATATTTTGTTGAACTTGGTTGGGCATTTCCTTCCGATGGGCTTTTCTTAGACCCTGAGTCCTGGCTTTCTCTCGTTCCATCTGCAGGCATCTCTCGGCTCGACGATCAGATCTTCCTCAACAGGAACCCGGGTGTCCCCTCAGTGGTGAAGTTTCACCCCTTCACTCCCTGCATAGCGGTGGCTGACAAGGATAGCATCTGGTGAGGGTTCACCTCTGGCTTTCTGGAGAGCAGCTCCCACACCGTGAGAGCAGCTCCCACACCGTGACACGTGCGAGGACTGTGATTGAAAATGGCCCATCAGAGAGTGGGTGTGGATGATTTTGGGGGAAGAGTGGTGTGTTGCTCCTTGTTCTTGCCCCTCTGCCCTCAGCGGTCATCCTCCCCCTTTCTGGGGCAGGAGATGAGGAAGAGGTCCTGGAGTTCAGTGCCGTATGGAGTGGAGTTCAGCATCGTGCCCGAATCCCTTTGTACAAGAGGTGCTGGATTAGAGGGCTACAAGTGAATCCTGACAAACTTATAATAGTTAATTATAGTTGGGATTTTATTCTGTTTCTTTGGCAGAAGCTGGGCATACCATCACTATATCAATACCAAAGGAGAAAGACAAATTGAATTGGTACCCAATGTGTAATTATTAGTGTCATTGTAATGGGTAGTTCTCTTTTTATAGCTTGCATAGAGAACTGAGAACTGACCTGATGTTTCTTCCTCACGCAGTTTTTGGGATTGGGAGAAAGGGGAGAAGCTGGACTATTTCCACAACGGGAATCCTCGATACACCAGAATCACAGCAATGGAGTACCTGAATGGACAAGACTGCTCTTTGCTGCTGACTGCCACAGGTAAGCGACACATTTGTCCACATGGTTTCAGGGCAGGGCTGGGGGATTTTACAGAACTCAAGTCTGGGTGAGCTGTTCTGGACCTCTCACTCTGCCCTCTATGAACATGGCCCAGTCTGACCCTTGTCCCTCCTCGGTGGCTTGCCTGAGCGATCTCAGTTGAGGAGGCGCTTCTGGAATCAAACCTGAAAATTGTTTCTGGCAGTACTGGATTATCTTAACCGCTTAAGTAAGCGCTGCAGACATTTTCAAATGACTAACAAATTAAACACTTACTGAAACCGTTTTCGGTCACAGCTTCATTTGCTACATTATTCTGGGTCTTCACATTGCAAACTCCTTCTCCTATACAACATTTGAGGCAATTTGATTTCAGTTGGTCCTGTTGTTTTAAAAGCTGCTGTCCAAAGCTGAAAAGGAAATCTCACTGCAACCGAAGTATAAGAAATCAAATTCTGTTACTTGTGCTGTTGTAGCTCTAGAGCAGGCAGGGCTTATTTTAAACATTAAACTTCTCAAATAGTTCTGAGTTTCTCTGTATGTCTCTCTGGTCCCTTCCGTCTCACCTAGGGGGAACAGTTCTCTAGAATGCTCTGTTGTACCCTGTAAGGTAGTATGAAGAGCTCTCATTCCCATTCATTGGTCTCTAAAGCTGTGAGTAAGATCTGCTTCTCTCCCAAGGAACCATTCTAAACCTGTCAGTCTAAGTGTTTTCAATTGCTTTTCAAACTTCATGATGAAATGTACAGGTTGGGTATAATTAAGAGAGGTAGAAGAAGAGTTGAGAGGGCCTTTAGGACATTTTTCTTTCAATTTATTGATTCTTAGCACAAAAGTTTCACAGTTGGGGAACAAATTGAAAAAATACATGATGTTCTTGAAAGATTTGCTGCTGATGGGCTGGGGACTCTGATTCAGCTCCTTCTGTAGGGTTGTGTTTTGTATCTAGCAGGGTACTTTTGTGGCTCTCAGTACCAACAGCAAGGAAGATGGAGAGATGAGTCCTAGAGAAAACAAATTGGTCAAAAGAGGGGGAGCGACATCTAATGTCGGGTGTTATTCATGGAAAGGAGCATAGCTCTTCCAGAAAAGTTCCTGGTGGAATAGTGTTTTAGGTTATATGGATGTAAGAGTAGAGAGAAAAACAACTCTAACAGGGATAAAGTTCAAGTGACACTTTCAGTTTTATGGTTTGTATGACTACAGTTCCACTTCTCTCCTTCCTTTGTTATGTGCAAGTAATTGTGAGAGTTGCATCAGCAGTGACATTGCGTTGTGTTCTGTTTTCTGTGCTCCCTGAGACGACGGCGCTATCAGAGTGTGGAAGAACTTTGCAGACCTGGAAAAGAACCCCGAGATGGTAACTGCCTGGCAGGGCCTCTCAGACATGCTGCCAACTACACGAGGTGGGTCCCCGCTAAGTTGTCATGTCGAGGATAGAAAGAGCTTGGGATGGTAGGCATTTTTCTAGGGTGGGGTAGAGCAGAATGGGTTTCTCAACTTTGGCCATCAGTTACATCCTTATTTGACAGTCTCTATCTTTCTGGAATGGCCTTTCACCAAGCCCTGGTGAGGAATTCCTTTTCCAGTTCTCACAAAACAACACCAACAAAACCAAAAGCCCTACACGGCAACTTCCCCTGCCACACGCACGCGTGAGAACAACTAGAACAGCCTCTTGCTGGGGAGCAGAAGGGCACAAAATCCTTGTTCTTCACAAGCACTTACCTGCTCTGGACTCATTGGCAGGTGGTTGTTTCTTCCCCTTTGGGTATGGGAGTAGCTCACATACTTCCTCTTTCCTCCTCATGGGCTGCAGCCTTTGCATAGCTTTGCATGTTGCACCTGTGACCTCATGTAGCTTGAATTCAGTTTTAGCACTGACTCTTTGCTGTTTATTTTGGGTCAGGAGATGGCAAGAGAATATGCAATCTAAATCTGATACCTACAGAAGGACAGTGCAGTTGGACATTGACCCACTTTGAGTGCTAAAAAAGTAATATAGAAAAAGATGTAAAAAGGAGCGCTGGCGTCCAGCAACATGCAGTTTGAAACCAGATTACCAGTTTGGGTAACCCTGAAGTCTGTTTTAGGACGTTAAAGGAGGTGGACGTTTTGTCCTTCTGAGACGTTTGTCCTTCTGGTAATGTACTAATGCTCTAATGATGATTCTCTGTCACTTGGATATTTTTAATCAAGGCTACAAGTTTTTCTAGAAGACGTGCTGTAGTTCAATCAGTACTTACGTTATGGGTTTGATGCAGGAATTGCTGGGTGAGGATCTCTGGCTTGTACTGTGCAGGAGGTCAGATGAGATGATCAACATAATTCATCCTGACCTTAAAATCTGACAGTTCTCATTTCTGAGCTTATGTGGTTCATCACAGGAGTCTGACACAGCTCTTTTAGCTATTCATTGGATTTTACCTGTGCTGCCTTGTTGAATTCATATCTGCTAGGTTTCTTTAACACCTCACGGTTCATCTCTGGTGTTTTAGGAAAGTATATTTGCTGTAACTTTAGGCTCTGTGCCTCATTGTCATAGGTGCACATAATGGATTATTAACTGCTGGAAGTTTGCAGCATACTGTGAAAATTGCCACAGTCAAAACTTGCCCTTTGCAGAGATGTCAATAAAAGCAGGCAGAAAACAGTAGTAATGCACTGAGTGGTGAGAGGCCTGAATCTCCTTAGGAGGAGAGAAAAGTACCCAGTAGTCATCTCAAGTTGCCCTTTGTAGTGTCATTCAGTTAGTCTCTATTTCTTTTTTGTCAACATTAGCCTTCCTGAAAGATGTTGGTTAATATTTACCCTCTCTGGATTCAGGATCTTATTTCCTTGGTGCTGGTAATGGACTTGCTCAAACAACTGATGTTCCCCTAGACTGCTGAGATCACTGACTTTTTCCTGCATCGTGAGTAGTGTCTGGAGAAGGTGCTGACAACTGTAGGCTGAACTCCTTCTGGCTAATCCCATTTTCCTGCCTTACTTCCTGCAGGTCTTATTCTCTGCGGGCCTTTCATATAGAAGAAAGGATTGTTAAAGAGCATCAGTGTTTGCCATTGCAAAACAGGTTAAGAGCTGAGGCAAGAGCTGATTTAGCTATAAGACTTGAATGGTTATGCTTGCTGAAACAACAGTGTTGAAAGTTTTAAATCTGTTCTCTTCAAGATTTTTTTCACCCTCTTCTTTTCTCTGTGATCTTAAGAAGTCTGGGTCCTGTTTCTTTGCCTTTCACCTTTGGCTGAATTAGATTCAGAAGAAGAAACAGTTAGATTTCTTTGTGGGGAGAGAAATAAATGCAGTCACTTCAAAGGAGCTATGTGAATGAAGTCCCCTTGGAAATGAGGCTCTCTACTGAAGAGTTATCCTTTGCTGCCACGGCCATAGCTATGGTCCAGCAGTAGCTCTTAAAACTGAAGGTGCATCTTTGAAGCTGGCTGTGCTCGGGAGTTTTACTGGAGCTCGTTCGCTCCTACTGTTGATTTCCTTCTCTCCCCTCCCATCCTTTTCCGCAGTGTCATACTCCTCTTTATTATTTGATAGTCTCGACAGCAACCAAAATACTGACTTTTCTAGGGAGTTACCCCTCTTATAAAAGGAGGGAGGAACATGCGATACAGAAATACATACTTTGGTATCTTCGGAGGCCTCACCAGCTTGCCTAAGTAACAGGAGGCTCAGGGTAACGCTGCTTAGTGTCCCGCAGCGTCAGGCTGGTCCGAGAGGGTGGCCTAAGCCAGATGGAGGCGCAGAACTTAAACTGTGTCATGACTTGCATTGTGCAGCCCAAGATAAGAGAAATGAGCTAATAGCTGAGTTTGTATGTTAAACCCATGTGTGGCTATTGCTGCTCAGAAGTAGCTTGGTCCCAGTTCACTGTACATCTTAGTTGACTTTTGAGATTCAGGGTAGACAAGTCTTAACTGAGTGCCACACTGTGTGGGCCCTTTACTTTTTCAATATAAGAACTGTTAATTTTGATCTTGTTTAGATCTGTGCTCAATCAACTCACGCTGCACAAAGAAAGTCTCTTAAGCTAAAATCAGGGTGTTTAAAGAAGCAATGGTACCAGGTGCTCTAGCGTGAAGCAGTGTTCCTTTTTGCTCATGTGAGGAACCAGGAACCCCCAGCTGGAGAGAGGGGTCCAAGAAAAGGCAAAACTCATGCTGCTGATAGCCCAGTGTTCCAGCCACGGTAAACTGCGAAAAAAAGTAGCAAAATCTAAGCATTTTCTAGTGCAAGGGAATGCATCTTGCATTTTCTAGCAAGGGAAGACCATAAACCTGAAGCGCTCTAAAGTTGTGATGTCGCGGTAGAAGGCTTCTGGAATGTAGGCAATTTTTATAAAAAAGGGGGTGTTTGAAAGCTGCTAATTCTGTGCATGGCTCGAGGTCCTGGAGCAGTTGGGTGCCGAGCAGCGCAGTGACCCAGCATGTGATGCCTGCGCAGGAGCTCTGCTCAAGAGTCGCACAGAGCACGTCCTGCCTGGCAGAAGTGGTCGTGCAGCTCTCTGGCTGTCTCTGAAGACAAGTGGTCATGCGCATGCTTCCGAACAAAATTGCAATTTTTGTATCGTCCCTTTGTGACGGAGGAAAACAAATAAGCCAATCGGAGCATCATTGCTCTTTAAAGCATGACAGCGCTGGAATTTGGAGAAATACAGAAGTGTAGCTAGCTGCTTCAGAGTTACCAACTACTGTCTGCTCAGGTTTCCCTTCCCAGTTCCTTCCGTGTGCTGTGTGCATAAGTCTGCGTTGTTTTTCTTTGTCCAATTTAGCAAAGACAGCCAGTGTGTCACTTCTAAAGGAGGGCCAGTGAAAGGCCTAACAGATTGGCAGGAACCAATGGTGGGAACCTGGAGTTGCTCGTGCAGGATTTTCCAGGGTTACCCAGAGCCATATCTCATTTCCCCGTTTTCTGCCTGCTGCAGTGTTCTCTTACTACCTGCAGGTTTACAGTGGCTAGAAATGAATCTGTTTTGGTAGCTAACCTCCCATTTAAGGGTTGTTTAAATGGAGCACCTATAAATTGTTTGCACCCCCTGAGTGCTGGTGAGCTCTCTGTTGCAATATGGAGCAGAAGAGCCCGTGCACTAGCTGCATGAGCCCAAGCCTTTAATGACAGCAACTTTGTGCCCTGGTTTGATGTGTGCAGATGCCGGGAGTTATCTGGATTTCCGTCTGTCACTGCCCAATACATTGCACTTCAGAGCGGGGACCAGGTTATACAAAGGATAGTCTCCTGGTTCAAGAGGAAATTTAATAGTCAGATCTGTGCTGCTGTCAGCCAGCCAGAGTATTCACTTCACACGTGACAAGCACCACTGGCGATGGCTTCCTAGGAAAAGGTTCGGTGATTGAACCCTTTTCTCTGGTTGGAGGCATGTGCTGCTCTTGGTACTGCTGCTTCTCTGTTATGTTTTTTCCCTTTGCTTTGAGTTGCTTTTTCTAATCCTTTTTTTAAGATTTATTTTTGCTCTGGCTGACCAACTTACCCTTAGCGTCAACCCCTTAATCCCTGTCTTCTCACAGGTCTGGCCCGAAGGGTTTCAATCTATCTTGACAGAAGTAAACAGGGAGGTGAGTGCTTTCTTTCCTGTTACCTATGACCAGCTGGGGTGGGAAGGACCTCCTTGTCCGACTTCTGTTTGGTTGGTTGGTTGGTTGTTTTTTTTGGCATGGTTTTGAATGACTGCTGGGTCCTTTTTGTTCCTGGAAAGCTTTGCTGCTTCTACCTCTCCCCATTCCTTGCCTTGTGTATGTGTCTGTAACAGCGGTGGGAAGTGTAGTGAGGGAGTCTCGCGCTCTCCACGCAAGCTCAGCCAACCACTGAAGGAAAGGGCAGGAGATTCACGTAACGTTCGCCGAGTTTTCTGCAGTGAGAGCAAGTATGGGTGGTTTTCTGGGACATACCAATCTTCTTTCTAAGAAGATTTCAAAGCGTCCTTGGACAAAAGAACTCAAACGACAGGTTCCAAATGCGAGCAGCCGTTAAGCTAACGCGAATTTTGTTAGGTTTTAGTTGCAATACAGTTTTACTCTAAAGATCATTTGAAAAGGAGCAGCTGATGAATCTTTCCTGTGAGGCTTAGAAGAGTGGATTTAGTCTTTTGGCAAGGGTATGCCTAATACATTTTACAAATTCTGTTCTTTTATATGGAAGGAAGACGAATAAAACCCTCCAACCTTCCTGCGTAGAAGCGGGAGCTGTGCAGTGCCTGCATCGCTCCCGAGCCTGACCCCCTTTGCCGCCGCGGAGGTCTTGGGGGAAGCAGATGGCGAATGTGTCAGGGCGTCTCTGCGTGTATGCACATACGCGGGTGCGAGCGCTGACGTAATCCTCCTGGGCTCTTCATCAGTTATTACCATTTGCTGGCTGATAAGAGCTGAGCGTGTCTGTGGTGATTAACAGAACAAAGATGATTGCGCTGGTGTGTGATTCAGAGCTCTGTAACTTGAGGCCTTTGCACATCTCTTGCTGTTCAGAGACAAAACGCTGGGAGAGCACTGAGCAAAGCTGGTGTGTTGCTGTTAGCTTTCTGGCTCTGCATTTCGCTCAAAAACCCACTGGCAAATCAAAATGCTAAAATTAGCAATACTCGGCTGCAGGGAATTCCCTGTTCAGCAAAGTGGGCTTCAGAGCAGTTTAAGGAAATACCAGCCACTCCTGCGCAGGATCAATACTGCTGATGCTAAACAGTCAGCGCTCTGTCCCAAGCACACAAATAACTGTGAACCAGTAAAAAAAAAAATCACCAGCATCTTCTGGCCAGGCATTCACCTAGGGCAAAATGCAGCAAAAGGATTCCTTCTGCCTGACCAAAGAAGCCTTGGAAAAGTGTAAGATTAACCATTTGTTTGACAGCAAAATACATCAGCTACATTCATGTAAAATGTACTTATTTTTTCACTAAAGCACCAAAAATCTGTTCTCATTGCCTCAGCTTCCGTGGGGAGCTTTTTCCAAGTGCGGGATAGGGACCATCTCTTCGTTCTGGCATCACTGGCTGCTGGCCTGAGGCAAGAGCCTCTAGGCACCGCTGCAACACAGCTCGGGGCAATTCGAGAGAGACCCACGGCAAAATTGTCCAGGTCATAGCAGGCGGCTGCGTGCAAGTCGGCGCTGAATCCCAGGAGCTGCGGGTGACAAAAAAAAAGGCTCCCCGCGGCGTCGCCTCCCGTCGCGGCACTGCCTGCGCGGTAGGCAGGAGGAGGCGGTGTTAACAAGCTAATATGTCTGACCTGTGCCCACCTCTATCCATCGCTGCCTCGGGGGGGTTGTTGGTTCTGGTGTGAAAACAGCCGTAATCTCTCGTACCTCCAGAAAGTTTCTGCTTGTGCCAAGCAAGAAAAAATAAGCGCATACGTGCCAGTTTTCTGCTTCCTTCCTGCTCTCCTGGGGCTTCCGAGACAAAGTGAAAATTGTCAAATATCAGCTCTGCGAAAAAGCAGGACCTTGCCCTCCGGAGGCTCTGCTCTGCTTTTAGCGATCCCAGCTCTTCTGGCAGAAGTGAGCAGTGCGGAGGGGAAGGCTGGAGAGCAGCCCTTGGCCGTTCTTAAGAGAAAAGTTAGCGACCGACAGGAAGGGGAATTTCCTGGGGAGCTGCAGAGCTGAGTATGGGGCAGCTTCAACAGAAAGAGGAGCCTTGGCAGAGAGAAGGCTTCAAAATAAAATTTAAAGGAGTTTATACTGAAGAATGAGAGAGAGAGAGAAGTGAAGTGAAGTGAATCTCTCCACATCTCCCAAGAGTTAGTATCTTTTTCTTTAGGAACACATTAGAGAAAACCACCTTACGTTATGGTCAGATTTTTTTAATTGAAATAAAATAATTGGAGTTGCATCTCCAGGGTTTTGGGTTCTTTCAATTGGATTCCCAGAGTAACAGACACTCTTTTCTCTTACTGTGCATCGTCCTTGGCACGAAAAGAGTGACACTTTCTGAAGGTGTGTTGTAGAAATTAATGAAGAGTGAGGTCATACAACCCTCCCACTGCGTCCTGGAAATTAAAACAGAGATGTGCCTCATTGCTTAACCAGGAGGGCCCATGATTAAAAAATCATCAGTCAGAATCTGAGATGCTTTTATATTGTAGCCCGTGTCGGTATTTCTGATCTCATTGAAATGCCGAGTACAGGTTGGCCGTGTTCCAGTCACGATAAAAATAAGTGCAGACACTCAAAATGCAGCTGCTTTCAACACCGGTGTTATTTATTGAAATTTATACAAGGAACTATCCCATCGAGACAAATATCTGATTTTCAGGGGGAGTCCTGCAGGGAACAGCCCTAGAAAGTTACAGCTTCAAGAATGGCTGTTGATATGCACTGCCTGTCTATCATCTCACATCATCCAGAACTGCAAGTACCTGTATGAAAAGGCTCAACAGAAAAAGCCTTAAATTTTTTTTTTTCCCTAAGCTGTGGAAGATTTGCTTGTTCCCCAAGAATTCCTTACAGAAAAAATTTAATCTTAACTAATGGTACCCTAAAGGAACAGTGTTGTCAGGGCGCCTGGTGCTGCAGTTCACTGGCGTCTGAGAGTCCTACCGTTCCCTGCCAGCCTTTATCAGGCGGTTGCATTTGTGTCACAGCATTCCCTCTGTTTGCTCCACTTCTGTAAGCAGGCGGGAGCTTGGAAGTCGGGTGGCGGGTAATGCATGAATCTTGCTACAGGGCTCGCCCGTGGAGCTGAGACTGCATGCGCTTGCAGAATATATTACCCTTTGCAAGAATAAGGCCGAGAAGCGTCTTACATGCCAGACCTGCAAGCCAAAACACAGCAGGTGAGCTGCACTCTCAGTTGTAACATCCTGGAGAAGGACCTCTGTTAATTAAAAAGGAAATGATAGTTAGTATTAAGTCCCACATTTGCTTCTCATCCTAAAGAACTGGGAATTTAACATATAAACATGAGCCAATACTCTGTCATTTCCACCATGAAAACATGTTTGCCCTTAAGCCTCTAGTACATAGAAATAGTTCAGCTGTTTCTGTTTAATTTCATACTGTGAGAATCGTCTTTGAATTTAACGTTTCACAGTCAAGAGAAGCCTTCCCTGTTACATGCTGCTGAATAAGTTAAATGTACACACAAAGGCTTTTGTTTTTTTTTCAACACAGATTTGAATTCTAGTGTAGCATTTCCAGTTGCAAGCCAGGCTTTTCCTTTCCCCTTTCCTTATCCCATTTCCTTGAAAGGGGCATCCTCTAAGCCTCTCTCGCATCCCCCCAGCCGCAGCCGTCTGCGGCAGCCCAGGAGGGAGGCTGGGAGCAGGATTCCCCGGCAGGAGCGGCTGGTGTTCAGCGCGGGTGCGACCTCTGCAGACAAGACCTTGAACGGTTCTTGGGCTGCAGGTGTTTCCCATCGAGGAAGGTGCCAGGAGTTCTCCTTCACTGTTGATTTTATGCAAATATTTTCTTATTTCTCATGCCTGGATCGTTTGGAGCAATATGAGCATCCCATATTCAGATGCAAATTAGTCCGCCCTTGAGCACTGTGGATCTGAAGAAGCAAAAATGGCATTTCATGTTTCCTTGAGAGAATAGGAAAGCTGACAAGAGCAAGAGAAGGTCTCAGGTTAGGTGATTATTAAAATGCTGCACTTGCCTCTTCAGCGAGCAGAGGTATCAGTTATACAGACTACTAAAGTTTTTATAAGAAAGGCAGAAGAAGAATAGTCTTCCTGTAAGACCGTGAGCTGTACCGTACACCAGGATGCTCCAGTACTAAGTTTTGAGCTGCCAAGGAGCGAGAACTCTCCTATGTGGGGCAGTCTGCTTTCTTCCTCCATGCGATGAAGCTTTTCCCCTTTTTCTCTCTAACCATGGAGTCTCTTTCGGTTCCTCTTTTAGGGCTGAATTTTTGTTCTTTCTATCCGGTATTTTCTCAGAAGAGATCTCTGTGCTGTTTTATGTAAAGTCAAACCCTTCTGTGGCTTCTTCCCTCCATGAAATTTTCCCAGCCTTCTGGATTTCATTTCTGAATATTCTCAGTGATTAAATTCCCCACAGATACACCGAAACAAGCTTAGACACCAGTGGCACCAACAATGCCAGTCATAACTCTGAAATCACCATCTCTCTGCCCCCCTCCGCAGAAGAGAGTTCTGGACCCCCCCCCGGCTGGGGATTGCTGCTACTGATCAAACTGAGGAAAATGATTGTCTTCAAACTGGGGGATGTAACTGGAAAATTGGGAGCTTTAAAACTGCCTAAGAGCACATTGCCTATTTAACTCCATCAGCGATGGTAATAGCAATATCTATCTCAGCCTGCCAGTTTTATCTTGTCACATGGGCCATAAACAAGATGACAAATGAAAACACTTTGGTGATGTTTATCATCTAAATCACTGCCTGCTTGTTTGCCTCAGATCTCCAGCAGCCCTCCGAGCTGCCAGGCAATCCGAAGTAGCAATCAATTTGACTCGCAAGATAAAGATACAAGCTCTCAGCTTAGTTGAGAGTCCTGAATTTCCTGCAGTAAGATGAAAGACTGTCAATAAGTGTCAGTTATCTTCTCAATGGTATGCAGCAAGATCAGGAAGCGGCTTGGATGCAATGCTTAGGAGGGGGAGACAGGCAAAACATTGTACCGGGATCTGTATAAAGCAAGGTCGTTTCATCATCTTCGAAGCTAGCTTGGTGTTTATAGGGTGCCTCTACTTGTTTCCTTCGTACCCAAGCAGCAATGGTAAAGATGTCTCGTCTGGCAAAAAGTACTTACAGTCCTTTAGTGACAAAAGGCATGTTGTAGGATGTTTAAATTTCCTGCTGGGGCTAATTCTTTAGGAGTACGCTCGTTTTGGACAAGCTAGTTGTGCATTTCTCCTGGGAGAGTTTGTGGAGCGGAAACGCGGGAGCCCCAACAAAGGCCACGGTGAATGGCTCCAAGCGGTGAGCCTGCCTGCGGTCCTCGTGTGCTGCAGAGCAGTTTCCGACGCCAAGTTGTATGTGCTTATAAAATACTTTCCTTCAGCACCAGAATCTCAATTTGGCACAGAAGAGACAGTAAAGCAGTGCTTCTGAAAGGAAGGAAGCTACTGCTTCTGTCTTGCACAACCCTGTGCAAGAAAATGAAAGCAAACATGCAAAAACTGAAATCCTTTTCAGGTTCCCTGTGTAGAGCTTCTGTTTTTTGGGTTTTTTTAGTGTATGAATAAAAATCTCCCTGCAAAATCTACAGATTTGGGGTTAGTCAGCCTTTCCAGTGTAAGAAGAAAAAGATAAGTGGTATACAGCTCTGTGCTGAAAGCAAAGCAGTTAGGTGCTGTGCAGGCAGCACATCGGTGGTGCAAGGAGGTCCCTTCTAATTAAATGTGCAAGAATTGTACCTTGGAGATTACCCCTGCCAATTAGGGATTTCATTGCCAGCTATTTCCTAAGGCCAAAGTATCTGTTTCGTTCTGATCCTTGTGTGCTCTGTGCTTAGGAAAGTCAGCTCGTTCCGTGGCTTTTGGACGTTTAATCCCCACACTGGGAAAAGAGGTGAAATGCGCTTATTTTTTCCTCTAGAAATTGCCGTACCAAGAAAGTTCATTATTTCATACAGTCTGCCAACCTGTCTGTAAGCAGGTACCCATGTCAGGTCTTTCAGGGATAGAAAATCCCTTGTAATTCTCTTACAGCATGGATGGGTCTTTCTTCTAGACTTCGGCTAGCAGTCAGCTTATGCCCCCAAGGATGAGGATCAAGAGCTCTTGTAAATGTATTTTAGCTAGTGTAATTGCAGATTGGTCTCTTCCTTCTCTGTCCATATAGCAAATGTTTTTTTAGTCTACCAAGCTATTTAATTCAGTATCTTACAGCAATGACTTTACTATTCGTTGTTTAGAAACGTTTCCTCTTAGCTACCTGCTTCCATTAGAATAAGAAGTCATGATAATCCAGAGGGTCTCCGGTCATGCTACATGTCAGCGGCAATCGTCATTTAGTCTGATGTTCTCATAAGGTGGTGGATAATTTATTAGGACTCCCATGGAAATCCCCAAGTAGTAGGTAGTTTCCCAAAGTGCCAAGAAGACTATACTCACCTGCCTGTAGAGACCACCTGGACCTTGACTTTTCTAAGCATTTAAGCTCCCCAAGAAGTAAAAGATGGACCCAAAACCAGGACCAACTGATCTGATCCCATTTGGAGGATGTATGGATGTGTGTGTATATGTAATTTTAAATTTCCTCTAACGATGATAGCGTTCTGTAACATGAGATCACAAAACCTGGTGTTCTGCTCAGTCCTGCTCTGCCTGTGCTGGTGTGGAAAATAATCTGCATGTCCTGCCTGTGTTTTCTCTTAGGAGCAGGAATGGTAGTCGACTGGGAGCAAGAAACGGGGCTCCTTATGACATCTGGAGATGTGAGGATAATCCGGATCTGGGACACAGATCGGGAAATGAAAGTACAGGTAACACCTGTGTATTTGTCCCATTTACTTTCCCCTATGGCTGAACGTACCGGTCTCCTAGCAAACTCCCAGCCCACATCTCATGCATTGAGTTATCACGTGCACGGCCAAAGGATCTGAGAATTTGTCTGTGAAGAGCTGACAGGTACCTAGTTCTGAATCTCCTGCTTTCCAGCCTCAGAATCACGTTACAAGATACATAAAAATGCACAAACATTTAGATAGCGTTTCAGATCTTTCCTGGAAGTCGCTGCTGGTATTCTGAACGGTGTGTGATAGTGCTTGGAAGAGGTGAGGTCTGTGCAACGCAGGAACAGGCAAGAGGCCGCTGACACGTTTTTTGTATGAATACGTTAGTGAAATAGTATAAAAAAATCTTGAGGAAATTAAGCGGTGAGTGGGATAGGTGGTAAGCACAGTCAGAGTTACTGCTACCATCTCTCTAAATCTCTGGGAAGCAAACAGAGCTAATTACGGAACAACACTACCCTCATACCTCCTGTCTTCAGGAAAGCGTGGTTCACGCCAAAAGTACTCACACATCTGTTTAGTTCCCTTCCTGAATTGGGGCCTGAATGCTTAGCAGGATGGAGACACGAGGTGTTTCCTAACCTTGCATTGGCCAAGTGGCCAAGTGAAGGCAGTGGGATTACAGCCAGCTGAGGCCAGCGTGACTCAGAGCAGCAGTTTGCCCGGTGTTGTGGGGGCCAGGTACCGAAGCACCGACAACGTCCCTGAGGCTACTGAGGGCTCCCTCAAAGTCTCTGTTCCAGCTGGGGAGCTGCTGGCAATGCTCTGCAGCTCGCTGTTATCTCCAGAACCGAGTGCATCTCGCCTTTAAAGGGAGGTGGTACGTAAGGCATGCATAACTTCCCGTGCAGTGTCACGGGGAAAAGACAGAGCAAGCATTCATGTTGATTGTAGTCAAATAATGTTTTTAGGAATTGTAAGGAGAAGCAGCAGGTCTGTCAGAATGAAGTCACCATGCTGGAGAAAAAAGGAAGTCTTCAAAGCTTCTAGAAATTAATTAACCCTGGATGAACATTAATTATGACACTTTGACCCTGCAATGTAGCATAATTAAGTTTATCTTAATTACTTTTGCCTATTATTTTTCCTATGTAAATTAGGGAACATCAAAATTCGGGAGGTGAAAATCTTCTAAATGATGATGATTAATGATTGTACTGGAATTATCTAAAAACATGGTGTTTCTTTTTTAATTGCAAAGACTGGTTTTGTTGAAATTCAAGTGATTGAAACTTCCTGACTCAGTAACACTGGAAAGCTGAAATTCAGCACAGAGCAGGGAAGCTATGTCATCCAAGCTAAAAAAGCTGCCTCCCCACTCTTTGAACTACTGAAAGCGCATCTCTGGAAGCGCTTTGTTTGTAGCTGAAGAAGCAAGGACTTCATTTTCACTTCAGCTGATTGTTCCTGCTTCAAAGGCAGGATCTGGTTTTAGGCAGTTAGAGTAACTATCCAAACACAGCCCCTAAAGTTAGGTGCCTCTAGCGAACAGCTACTTCACTCAGCTAAGACTGTGCATAGCAACTAAGAAAGGTGAATATGCACAGAAGCAAAAATAGGATGGAAGTGTGAAATTAGCTAATGCAGTTCTAAAGTACCGCTTTGATTGTTATCCTATTTTCAAAACGTTGCTTAGTTTTCACCCTTTTTAATTGAAACTGTTTTTCTTCGTAACAGCCGTAGACATTATTTCAAGAAATTCCTTTGCTTTTAGCAAGTAAAAGAGGGGGAAAGTTGCAGCATTGGAGTAGGAATGCAAGACTTGTTCACAGCACAGCTGTCCTTGCAAGCTCCAGTTGTCTTTTCCCATGTTGTTTTTTTTTTAAACATATGCAGTATCTGGCTTCTAATGAGATACTCTCCTTGCCCCAAGGTCCTACAGCGGGGCTTGAGGGGTGGCACAGCATTGGCTCACTTCACTTTGCATAAGTGGCTTTGTGGCACTGCATGGTAGCCAGGCAGCTCACTGTGTTGGCTAAGAGTTGCATGTTTGTTACAAGGCTGTCCACGAGCACCAGAACCGTTTCACAACTGCCAGCGCCCCAGGGCTGCTGGACGTGGCTTCCTGCGCTGTCCGTGGAGAAAAGAGAGGTCACGGTCAGACAGTCGAACCTCAGGGTTGTCACTGGCTCTCTGCCTGGGCCTGGCGGGCCGAATCGCCCTCCTTGGACGTAGACCTTGTGGGAGGCGCTGCAGGAGCTGGTCCCAGGGCTCTTTAACTTGGCCCGTTTGTGCCAAAGCAGAGGGGCTCTGCAGAGACCGAGGGGTGATTCTGCTGAAGGGAGGAAAGGAGCTCAGTGCTAAAAAAAATGAAACTGAAAGAAATGGAGCTCATTACCTGAAATGGCTGCAATCATCATTAAAGGGCAAAAAATCATTTTATTGTTTCCAGGGGGCAAATATGGTTTTTGTCCCGCACAGCGCTGTGAAATGAAAAGACTTGTTGTACAAAGCTATTCTTCTAATGTATGTGTTACTGCTAGGGATTCTCCACGGCCAGTGTCTGCTATTGTACCACTTAGACCTGGGTTTGCTGACTAGGAAATATTTCTCCGAATAAATCTATTATTTGATCTGTTTTGCATTCTACTGTTTTGGATTTTTTTTTAAAGCTTCTTCTGTAAGAGGCTTTCAAATAACTTCCCAGAACTTATTTGGGGGTTCCTTTGAGGCACAAAAAGAGCTAATACCTTGCAGTCTTGTTCCTTCAGCAGGGTTTTGCATAGATGGTATTGCTTGAAGCATACTCTGTGTTTGGTTTTATATGCGTGTTTATATACACCACTATGAGTTTTGCTTTCTCATATAGCGTGTCTCTTCCAGATACTTACTGCTCATCCTGCCATCCCAGTAGCATTTACAACTTGCACACAGCAAAGATGGTTTATGGAGAAACAATTCCTCTGGCCATTTATTTTAACTAGTTAGGTATTTTTACCAGAGAATAATACTAATTCCTCCTTCCTAAAATAGACCTCACCTTGATTTTGGTTTATAAAGCTGAATGATTTGCAAAAGCTGGTCTTTAACAGCACTCGTTTGGCTGGAATTCCTCCTCTGGGTCTGGGAGTTTGGGATAAGCTTTGGGAACTGCGGCTGCGGTGACCATAGTCCCCCCAGGATCGCTGCTCTCTCGCGTCTGGGCCCAGCAGAAAGCTTCCCCTCCCTGCTAGAGATGTTCACGTCGACTCCAGCGCCTTCTCCTCTTCTGGGCCGTAGACTCGAAGACGCGTCACGGTCTGAGCTTGCCTTGTGCGTGCTTTGCCCCCAGGACATCCCCACGGGCGCCGACAGCTGCGTGACCAGCCTTTCGTGCGACTCGCACCGCTCGCTGATCGTGGCCGGGCTGGGCGACGGCTCCATCCGCGTGTTCGACAGGAGGATGGCTCTGAGCGAATGGTAAGGACGGTGCCCCCGTCCCCCCGCCCGCCGGGGTCCCCGTCCCTTCAACTCTCCACGGTTTAAAGGCCCAAAGCCCACAGGGAATTTATCGATTTTGACATTGGCTTCGGTGACTGAAATATCTTACTGGAAAAAACGTCCCTGTTTCAGTGAGTGCGTTTGCGGCCTTCATCGTGCTGCGATCCGAGCCTCGCTCCGCGAGGTGTCCTCCCCTCCCAGCCTGGCTCAGAGCCTGCTGGGTGCCCAGGCTTCTCAGGGCCTTGCCGAGCCCTTTGGGAGAGACCATATCCTGCCCCTAACTCAGCGGCAAAGTCTGCAGGTGGAGGAAGACCCTTCCCCCTCCCCGTATAAAGTCAGAGAAGAGGCCCAAAGCCACCAGCTTTGCCTGTTCTCCAAAGCCCGGGGGGCGTCCTCGCGTTTCCTCCTCTTCCCCTTGGAAACGACTCTCCTCTCTCCCTGTCCCTCAGCCGCGTCATGACCTACCGCGAGCACACAGCCTGGGTGGTGAAAGCCTACCTGCAGAAACATCCCGAGGGCAACATCATGAGTGTCAGGTAAAAAGGGCTTTTACTGCTTGAGCTGTTTTCTTTTAAACGCCATTTGCTTTTCTCTCTGAAATCTGCCTCTGGTATATCGAGAGCTAGGAGGGTAAAGCTTGACGTCGAGGGCGTCTTGACGTTTGCCTCGGTAGTCGACTCCTGCTCCAAACTTGGTGGAGAGAAGGCAAAAAGAGCGGTGAAGCTTTCCTTGGAAGCCCGTTAGGGAGGTTTAGGAGTAAACGCCGAGGCAGCTTTGCTGAAATTACTCTCACGAGGTGTGTGAGGGAGGAACGGAGCGAGCCGTGAGCCTAAGCTAGACGCGCTGCGTCTTGTGGGTGTCCTTCCTCGCTGCCAGCAGCGCGGTGGGGTCGTAGGAGATGGAGCGCGAGCGGGAGGGAGGTTTATGTTGCATCTGTTGGGCATATTGCTGTGTGGGATTACTTCACCGTCTAGCAATTTTGTACACATAAATCCATTTCTGCCGCCTGGTAAATACTGAGCAGAGAGCAGCATATATTTATTTGGCCATTAAAGAACGGCAGAATATAATTTATTGTCGCAAAGCCGCTGTTTGCACACAGAGAGGCTCTCTTTCTTGATTACAGACTGAAAACGAAACGTAATATTCTGGGATGTAGAACACTCCTGAAGAGGGGGAGGGGCCAGCACAAATTTATCAAGATTTTTCGGAAAGGGGCTTAAGTGATGCAGCTGCCAGATTTGTCAAGCTCACATATTACAGTTTTTAATCTTCCTCTCTGTAATCTCCTTCAGCCGTCCCAGGGGTCAGGCCTGTGTGCTTGGCCAGCCCCTGTCTGAAGGCTCGTTTTTTCATCTCCTCAGTGCCCTTCTCAGCAAACGGTGCCTTTGCTCACGACTGGAAAAGTAGGAGACCCTACTGCCGTTCAGAAGACCAGTCTAGTCCCATCGCACAGGAAGGTGGTGTGTTAAGACAAGCCACCCTGCTCTCAGTTTCCCCCAGTTCAGTCTCTCCTTTGGTTGACAGCAGCGTCCAAGAAAAACAAACGTTAGGATATAGCTGGTCCTGAGAAACGTCGAGGCATCGTGGTGTTTATGGAGCTGAATCACAGGGAAAGTTTTTATCGGGACCAGAGAGAGAAGTTTACAACACGGGATTGGCGATGCCAGCCGGCGTTCTGCTGCTCTCCACCGGCTGGCACTGCTTAATCACTTGATATTTTGCTCAGCGGTTTTGATCGGTGTGCTAGTGCTACCGTTGAATTTTCCTACTTACCAGCACTTCACCAGTGGCTGCTCTTCCAAAATACTGAAGTGCGATAATGGGATAACAGGGACCTGGCAAATGTATCTTGGACTTCTTTCCTAGTTGTCTACAGTGATAGCCCGCGGCTAAGTGGGATGTCGGGACAGGGTCTTTCCCTGTTCTCTTTTGAAATTGCCTCCAGTTAATCAGCAGGTCTGCTTCTATGAGTTGTACAGTGTTGCGAGAAAAGGTCCTTAAACGTCTTCTGAATATCCTGGTTTAGTAGCTTAGCTGTTGTTGACTTGTTTTAAATATTAGCTGATGCACCAGTTGTTGTTCAGCTGGGACGTGCTTTGTTAAGACCGTGTTTTCGTATGTGCTCCTCCCACCACAGAACTGGGCTTCCGTTTTAAAGCTCTTACCTGGTCTTCCAGTACGTTCAGAACCATTTTCAAGTCTTAGTAAGATTCAAAGCTTTAAATGAACTTACTGTGTATTTGATCTCTCGCAAAAAATATTTTTGTCTAGTCTTTAAGATGTAAATCCACTTGAAGTGTAACTTGTCTT